CATACATACATACATACATACATACATACATACATACATACATACATACATACATACATGCATACATACACACATATATGCACACTTCCATCTGTATACACTTTCACACACAAACACACACACAAAATAGACGATATCATTCAACCCAGCAAAGCCTACATGAAATTATGAGAATCGAGGAGGAGAGCTCTGTTAAAAATTTCGTTTGATTAAGGTCTGCATAGCGCAGTGATAGGTGAATTTATCTATTGAGGAAATGTTGACCATACATTAATGTGTACACATACATATACACTTATACAGATATATAATTATACACATATACACATACGCATATTTGTATATATTAGCAGAATTTTCATAACAGACAATTGCAATTTTCTCAGCTATTTTACATTTTTATTTATATACGCAAATTGATTTTGCTTTCTGCTGCGAAAATATATAAAGTATTTATACAAGCTCCAAGTTGAATTTAATTTATATATAAAAATAAATATGTATACATAAAACTAATTTATATAATTCACTTTTAACTCGTGTCCTTCTGGGTACATTCCTTGGTTTATTTCGCAATAAGTTTTTAGTTTTTTATTTCAAAATTTCAAAAATAAATAATCTAATTTATATGCAAATTTTTTTGCTCAGCTGTTTTTCCGCATCGCATTGTATGAAATGCATTGAAATGGAAAACGAAATCTTACGAGACGAGACGAGACGAGACGATTTGAGTCGAGTGATACATGAGATAAATTTTATGCTTGGCATATGCGAAATTCTACGCCAGCTGCGAAACACAAACAAAGTTCGTGCAGCAGGTGCTGGGAGGGGTATATGGGTTAGGTCTATTTAGAAACTAGAGACTTTAATTTTCCTATATACATACATATATATATTATAGATGCTAGCCGTGTATCGTGCAGCCGACTGCCACGTTCTTACTTCTCTTCCTCTTCCTCTCCTCCGCCTCTCCCTCTCCTCAGTTACACTTGGCTGCGCGTTTGCAACGCTTATGTAAGATCCGTAACCCTGCCGCCGTCCGGGGCGGGGTGGGCGTTTTGTCGGTTGTCAGCTGGTTTTCAATCTCATTTCGAGTCTCTTCAATGTCTGTCATTACAAATTATCATTACACGCTAATTATGTCAAAAAGTAGACTCTAATTAGACCATTCAATCAAAGCGATATTGTGATCGCATCACAGATATGTCATGTATATATGTATATTTCTATATATTGTGTGTATATATATTTGATTTGTAGGCGTTTTTCATTCATGGCTCGACTGACTGTTTATTTTTTGTGTGTGGGCCGCCAGCGGCGCCAAATCAATTTAGTTTATAGACGTGCTCTATCGATCTCTCTCTCTCTCTCCCTCTCTCTTACACTCTCTTTCTCTTTTGTCAACAGCTCATTTATAGAATTCGTAGTCTAGTCAAATTGTGTGATGAGTGATGCTTCGAGGAATGCTGCGGGGTGTTAGCCAAAAGATAAAACAAAAAACCATCGATGCTTAAAAACGATTTTGGTCTTAATCGCTCTACCAGTTGAGGAAATTAGTATAACATAGTTAGAACTAAAGATCTTTCGATTAATGTATATATATATATATGTATATGTGTGGGAGATTGCATATATTTAATGAGCTATAAGTGGGAATAGTTAAAAAGAGGTGTTTAATTAGTTTAAAAAAAAGATACTATAGCTATAATATATAATGATACATTTCATGTATAAGTGGACAAAGTTTTTATAAGCTTCTACGCTAGAAATTATTATAAATGTATGTGAATAAATGATATAAATAATTTATTAAATATATGAATATGAAATTAATAATAATCCGTGGGAATAGTTTATCTTGTATAAAGAGAATGTACGTATATAAATATATTTTCAACAAATATAGGCAACAATTTGTTTAGACAATGATTCCATAGCTTAAAGTTATGAAATGGACATGGCAAATGAAATATAATTGAAGTGAAAACAGTCAAGGGAATGAGTAATTAATAGCATGGGAAAATATTTAATAGAGGTGGGAACAGTTGATAGTTTCAGAGTTTGCTCAGATTATCGAAAAGAAACTCTTATAACCTAACCCTATAGCTGGCCAATTTTCTCCATTAAAATTTTCTCAATCAAACCATTCCAAAGATTTTGAATATAATTCTCGCTCTGCGCACAATTTGGAAATTCATTGTTTATAATTTGGGAAATGAAAGGAAATGCTAATCTAATAGGAAACAGTTGTAAGCCCCACTCCTCTCACTCTCGCCCTCTCTCTCTCTCTCTCTCTCTCTCTCTCTCTCTAATTGCATTTTGTACTGCTCGATTGAGAGCAAAAGTCGGAAACTTGAAGCCAAATGGTTTTGGTAAAAATAATTTGATATTACAAAACGTTTGCTTGCCACAAAACGTGGCAAAGTGGCATGCAAGCAGCGCACAGCGCACAGCGGCCAGCAACCTTCGCAATTGAATGCTGCAATCAGGCTAACACCGCTTCACTACCCTGCCCCCCCTCTACCCAATAGTCACCTGTTACCTGTTGTTGCCTGCTGTGAACAATTGCTTAACGTTCATTAAACTTGAAAAGAAAGCAAAGTTGCTTTTTTTTTTTTTTTTAATTTTGGCAGCAAGTGCAAATGCAATTGCAACAATCAATTAATATGTGTGTGTGTGTGTGTGTGTGTGTGTGCTTTATGGTTAGCCAACTCTGATTTAATTGTGGAAAAAATCTGCAACAACAATCGCAGCAATTAATCAAATGGAAATAAAAATGCGAGGGGGCAGACAGAGAGAGAGAGAGAGAGAGAGGGAGGCCGGCCCAGAGGCGGGTTAGCCTGCTTCTGCTGCTGCAGCTGGTGCCAGGCGCGCATGTTGCAACAACAACAACGACAACAGCAACAATTGCAACAAGTTCAACTGTTGCACGTTGCTTGCCAGCGAGTTCAATGGCAAATGGCTTTCAATGCCTCGTCAAGATCTCTAGCTTAACCTTCCAAGTGGGATGCTGTTGCTGTCCATATTTGAGCTCTTGCTGCTGCTGCTGCTGCTGCTCTTGTCCACTTTGATTAAAATACATTAATTATATTTTCACAGTCCAACTTCGCGTCGGCTCGACGAAACAAAAATGAAAGTTTATTTTGGAGACACAAACCAAAGCAGAAAAGAAAAACAAAAAATGAAGCAACTTTGGCTTTGACTTTGACTTTTAGCTGGCTTTTGGCTCTTGGCCAGTTTTGGTATTGGTCACAGTTGCTATTGCTTGTTGTTGTTGTTGCTGTCCATTGATATGCCCAATTGGGGGCATCTGCTGCGGGTGGGTTAGCGCGTATTAAAAGGAAATTCAAATGCCCACACAATTGCGACTAAGGTGGGATTCCGCTTAAAGAATTTTGTCATCTGTATACCCTGTAAATATGTGCAGTAGCGTGGGCTTGATAGGAGTTGTGTTTAGCTGCTTTTTTTAATCAAGTTTGGCCATTTATTCTAAGCTCTTGGATGTATGTATGGGAATATTCCCTCTTTTCATTTCTACTTCAAAATATTGTGCTCTGATTTGTTATTGATTAATTAGTTAGTTATAACGGTTAATGTCGGCGCTTTTCAAGCTCAAAGGCTCGAATTGGATATACATAAATACTAATATTGACGCTCTACTCATAAATAACAAAAACAACATGAATATTTTCGAAATGGGCGTGGCAGGTGTGAAACAACTTAAGCTATAATAGCTTTAAATAAATAGTTCACACATAAGTTACTCTTTAGATAAGAGAGTAGAGCAGGAAACGGAGCTGTAGCATGAGATAGATCGGACTCATCATCGACTCTGAAATTCTTTAGCTCTTATATAATGTGAACAGAGAGAAGCAAGTCTTTGTATATAAGCTCGATCAATCTCTCTCAATTCCAGGGTACACACAAGTCGGGCTATCTTTAACTAGTGCAGCACGCTTTGATTTCAATTTATTTATTGTTTCAATTTGCAACATTTGACTTATTTGATGTGTGTGTGTGTGTGTTTTAATTCCTCTTCCTCGCTCTTGCAGCTACTGGCCTGAGCAGCAGCCGCAGCAGCTGATGTGGAACATGGCTCACAAATTGGCTGGCCAATAAATTAACATAGGAGCTGAACAAGCCAAACCGAAAGTGTCACGATCAACAACAACAACAACAACAACGGCGACGTCGAGGAGCAACAGCAGCAACAAGTAGAACTTGATAAACGTGTCGATAGACAATCGAAACAGAATATAAATTGCAAGTGAAATTTTTTTGAAATAAAAGTAAAAACTCGCACAAACCGGAAACAAAGCAACAACAAGAAGAAGAAGAAGCAGCCACCCCAGTAGCAGTGGAAGTAGTTGAAGCAAGTTCCATTAACATGTACCGTCCGAATTTCTACGAGTCGACCTGCCTGCGCTGCAGCGAGACCGTCTATCAGGTGGATCGTGTGGGTCCGCTCAAGGATTTCACATTCTTTCATTCCGGTTGCTTCAAGTGCGTTCACTGCGGCACCAAGCTAACGCTCAAAACGTATTTCAACAATCAGCACAAGCAGGATGACAAAGAGGTAAGCCGAGAAAACGTATAAACGAAAGACTTAGGCAACAAACTTGCAATGAAAATGAAAATTCGAATGCAAATTTACTGCACTTTTATTACAACTTGCACTCAGTCGATGTGGAAATGCAGGGTATACTGTAATGATATATGTATGTAACAGCTATAGTATATGGTGTATGTATGCATATATATTCGTGACCAAGATCACCGTTACTCATATCTTTCGCCTGTTCATATATGTCTGGCATTTGTATATGTTTAGTGGTATCTCGTAGTCGTGCATACCCCATTGGCCACACTCTCACTTTACTTCACTTGCATTTTGCATAACAATAAATAACATTGTTATTGCTCTTAGCCAAATGTGTGTCATTGCGGTCTGTCAGACCTAGACATATAACTATGTCTATATGCATATATGCATGCATGTATGCGAATATGAATATGTATATATGTATATGTTTAGTTATCTATGCCAGCATATCTATATTTATGGCTAGCTTTTCAGGCCTGCTCACCTGCTGTGAGTAGGTGAAGTATTTGCTTGTGCGAGTCGTAACGCTGCTTGACAGTTTATGGACTCTACAGTTTAGATAGAAATTTGAGTTATGACTGCCTCAAGCTAATTGCCAGAACTATGCACAAGCAATTCAGTTTAATTAACAAGCGAATTCTTTATGAACTTTGCGGCAGAGACGTTTCAGTTTTTCTCACGTTTGAATTTCCATTTCCAAATCTAATTTATGTCTTTTGTAATTGTTTTCCATTCATTACGATTTGTATATACAAATAAATTATATAAACATGCATATCATTAAATATAATAGCTCTGTTCTCTGGCTATCGCCACGTTACATCATTAATGTTGCCTGATATACCCTGTAATTATGTTAATTCTACTGAATATATATTTGGTATAGTCTAGTCTCATATCATTTACTGATCTTAGCAACTCTCTGAAGTTGCTTTCCTTCGCCCACTCAGCATGCAGAGATTATAGAGCATCTTCAAGTCAAGTCAACTCAAGTCTTATTACACTTATCTCAAATCTCTCTCTCCCTCTCTATCTCTTTCTCTTTGACCATTACGAAAAACGTCTTTGATTTGCCTAGCATGATTTGAAAACTTTGAGCTGCCTCCGATACCATTTACGGCCGCCAGTTACCAAGTTACCAAGTTACCAAGCGTAGTGCTCTATATGGCCCGAGCATCTTATCGTATCTCGCACACCTTTTATAGAAAGATTTCACTGCATGATCCACGCAAGACAAAGCGTGACCGAAGGCCCCAAGATTTATCTGCAATGAGACTAATAAACATTTCTTATGAGCGACGCAATCTACAAATCTACAAATCTAATTGCATTTGGCCTTAGCTTTGTTTTGTTTACCTTTGCGCTTGCCTTGTTCACTTTTGACTACGTAACGCTGCGCTCCTCTTCGCTCTCTTGCAGGTCTATTGCAGTTCACATGTACCAAAGAGCGGACCCGGTCATCTCGATCAGACGTCGGTGGGCATACGTCAGGCACTGAATGCGCCGCGCACAAACAAATTTGTGAACGAGCAAATACGCGGCACACGCACCGAAGTCGATGGTGAGTGAGGGGAGGGAAGGGAAGGGGAGGCTATACATTTGACCATATCTAATAATAAACGTTTTCAGGTGGCAGCGCTGGTGGGCTGGGCTCGCGTCAATCAACGCCCAACGGCTATGGCGGCAGGGGGGAGCTGAGCTCCCCCTCCCAAAACGATTCCGACTACAAATACGGACGATTCGATGCCAGCGCTTTGCATATTGCGCATGCGCTCAAGCAAACTGAAATACAAAAGGCCTACAACAAAGCGCGCGAGAAGCCCATCGATTTTTACTTGGTAAGTCTAACTCTCTCCCTCTCACTCTCTCTCTCTCTCTCTCTATGTATATCGATGTCTATTCTAACTGCCAACTGGCCGCAAATTAAGAAATTATTTAGTGCAGAACATCTAATGAAATTTTAACTGCTCTTAACCAGCAATCATTGTTACAGTCGTTTATAGCGGACCAACACACACAGACACACACAGAGATACACTCACACACACACACACACACACATACACAGTGTCTTGTAAACAAACGGTTGTGCAATGCTCCCTCTCCATCTCCATCTTTTGCCATGTCCGCCTCGCTTCGATCCGCGTTGCTAGTCGAGCTTTAGAGTGGGCAAAGAGAGGAGGGGAGGGGGAAAACTATTTAATTAATGCACTCGATGGCTGACTGGCTGGCTGGCTAACTGCCCGGCTGGCTAGAGTCATGATTATGTAGGCTAGTGTGCTATTTGCACTTGCGCGCCATCAAGTTTGTTGCTTAAGTCTTTTGTTTCGAGTGGGGCACTTGGAAGCCAAAAAGCCAGCAGAATAAACTAGCGCAGCAGCTAGTTAGACTAGCTGACTAGAAAAAACAGTTACGGTATAGTTGGGCCAAGAGTGGCTAAGCACTTACAGGGTATGCAAGTTAGCAAAAGCTGCATTTGTATAGGGTATAAGTGAGCACTTGGAGGGTAGAGTTTGTTGTTTAAGTCTTTGGTTTTGAGCTGCTTAGAAAACTTAGTTGAAAGTTACCTTTAGACTAGAAGTGGAGCAGGGGTGGAGTTCAGCTAGAGCTGGCTTGTGTTTATAGAAACTTACAGGGTATAATGTGTATTGTAGTTGGCCAGGTCATCTTTTCTGAATCAATATATAAATATATCCATGCTATCTATAGAACAACTTTGCTTAGCCTCGCTTGACGACGTGCTAATGTATTAGAATTAACTGTGCCCATAACGAAGCCAGCACTGTAACAGGCATGGCTATAAAAATGCGCTCAGCCGACTTCCGCTTGCTGCTCCATATAGAAAACGCATTTGATTTTTCAACACTTGCAGTTGCCAGCTCGATTACAATTTATGAGCAGCTGCTGCTGCACTTATCGTCGAATATATGTATATATAAATATATATATGTATCTGTATCTTTGGCAGATCGGCTTTAGCTTAGGCGCATGACTTGGCAAATCTGTTGCAGAAATCTGCATGATGGTGAAAGCATTATAATCGCATTTTACGTACAGAAAAAAAATGATTAAAAAACGAAAATAAAATCGCACAAGTTTTTATTTTTCTGTCTCTGTGTGTGTGTGTGTGTGTGTGTGATCTGTGTTAGTTTTGGTGGTGGCACCACTAACAGTTTTTCTTTCACTTTCGAGAATGCCACACGCGACTGATCAACAGCAACACCAACACCAACAACAACAGCAACAACAACAACTGTTAGCTAGCGCATATTATTGCAACGCTCAATTTAACAAATTTCGAACAGGTGTTTGATGGCTTTGTTGTTGCCACACCGCTAAAGCCACAAATATGTGAAAAATTGCATGCATGCAATCATTAAAAATTTTGCATGTTTTACAACTGCCACGCACATGCACACATACACACTCGCACACACACACTCGCACACACCCACCAACTTCGTTGCGCGCTCATTTGCAGCTGGTTTAACGCACTCGTACACAATATTTCGGCCAGCAGTGTCGCCAGCAGCATAGATTTCCATATACGGCTAACTGTGTGCGCGTCGTTATTCCGGCTGCACTTAAGCGTCAGTCAGCGTCGACAGCGACGTCGCCGTTTGCTAAATCTAAATTATGCGCTCCAGAGTGAAAGTAACGGCAACGTTGTCGGCATCGTCGTCGCATTTGCTTCATCATTCCAGCCGACGCGACGGCAGCGCAGTTGGCAGCGTCATTCTATGGCGCTCTCTTCCAAGCTCTCCCGCGCGCTCTCTTTCTCTCGCTGACTGTGTGCGTAACGCATTGTACTGCTCGCTCTCTCTCTACCTATTGCCATCCCACTCCGGCATTGGCGTGCCCTTATGCAATGGCTGGCATGTAATGATTATTGCTTGCAAAACACACACTTCCTCATGCTTAGCTTTAAGCTTTTTGCGCACTTTTATCAGACGCAGCCAATTTACCGTTTATGCAGGCGTGTATTTGTGTATTGTGTTTGTTTGTATTGAGCAGCTTGCGCAATAATTAGTTTCGTTACTTTTTGGACTTTCGTTTTCATTTCGATTTCGGCTGCTGCTACCGATTGTTGTTGTTGTTGTTGTTGTTGCGGGCACTGTTATAGCTTTTGTCACAGTGGGCGTCATAAATGTTGTTGCTCTCAATATTGTATGTGTATCTCTGTATGTGTGCATATTTTCGTTTTTATTTTGACGCTCACGCAATTTCAACTGTCCATTGTCAACGGGGCTATGAACCATTTAGTTGTTGCTGTTGTTGTTGTTGTTGTTGCTGCTGCTACTGCTTATTACTCTTTGTTTTTGTTTGTTAAAAAGTTATTGTTTTGAACTTGACATTGAATTTCGGTTTTAATTGCATATTGTTATATATATATACGTACATATGTATGTGTGTGTGTATGTGTTTGTCTGTGCGCTTGTGGCGCTAAATGTCTCGAAATTCCCATGCGGAAGCATTAATTAAGCCGCTCCGCAGCTAATTTGTTTAACAGCATATTATTTACAGCCAACACAATACACACACACACACACACATACACAAACAGAGTGCAACATGCAACATGCAGCACCACTGTAATTATGACAAAGCCAGCTAATTGAATTTTATGTTAGTCAAAAGCGAAAAACACAAAAAGACGCAAATTGTGGGAACACTGTCAAACAAAAGAGGAGTTTTTTTTTTTTAATGAAGTATTTTAATGTCTCGATTTTGGGAGTGGATTTTTTTGGTTACGATATGAAAATTAAGGAGCAAAATGTATTTTTTAGTACAGTTTTATAACCATCATCAAATTTTATAAATCAATTGTATATATCTCTAAAATAATACTAACTCTTAGTATTTTCTTTAGTATTTCTTACATTAAAAGTATTTATATCGGCCAAGAGCTTTGTAATTTCCAGACTTTGATTTTACCGCAAAATCAGTTGGGGGAGAAATTTGTAAAGAAAAACAGTAAATGAAATTAAATGCAAAACCAATTCGCATAGTTGGTGGATTCACGCAGCTTATCGAGCAGGCGCACGCAATGCGTGACCACTGTGCCTGTGGAGGCGGTGGGCGGGTATTAGGGGGCTTGGACTGCAGTTGGCTCGGACTGCAGATAATGTCAGATATTTGGCAGCCGAAGCGTGGCATTATAATTAGCCAAGTTAACAAGCCAAGCATTGCGAGCTGCAGCGAGATGCAACTGCTGCGTCAGCAGATGAGGCTAAATACAGTTACTTTCTCCACTCACTCCACTCATACTCCCCTCTCTCTCTATCTCTCTCTATCTGTTTGTAGGCCCGCGAGGAGCAGGCGCATCTGGAGATGAAGCACCGCAAGGAGGAGGACGATCTGTATCGGAAGTTCGCACGCAAGCGCGAGGAGGAGGATCGCAAGATACAGAGCGAGTTCCAGGACGAGTGGGAGCGCGAGCTGCAGCGGCTGACGCACAAGTTCGAGAAGGAGCTGGCCATCTCGCGACGCAATCGAGATGAGGCCAACATCCTGACGCTGCGCCACGAGCAGCAGAAGGAGGACCTGGAGAAGAACATGACGCTGCGCCGCAGCAAGAAGAAGGAGAGCATCACGCGCAAGATGCTGGAGCACGAGCGCTACGAGACGGCCGCCCTGGTGGATCGCCAGTCCAGCGAGATGCTGGAGCTGATCAGCGCCCGCCGCTCCGAGTACATGCAGAGCGAGAGCATCTTCCTGGACGACGAGTTCAGCGAGGGCACCGTGCCCATTGAGTATCCACTGCATGCTCCGGTGCCGGCGCCGCCCGCTGTCAGCAAGTTTCAGATCTACACGGATCCCATTGAGTTCGAGGACGTCGATCGCATCGCCATTTCGGTGGCCCAGGAGGACCAGAAGACCTTCACGGATCTGGTGCGCCAGCTCGTCGGCCGCTGCACCACGGACATCGAGAAGGCGCGCACCATCTTCCGCTGGATCACGGTGAAGAACCTGAATGCCATGCACTTCGACGACGACCTGAGAGGCGACACGCCCATGGGCCTGCTGCGCGGCATCAAGTACGGCACCGAGAGCTACCACGTGCTCTTCAAGCGCCTCTGCAGCTACGCCGGCCTCCACTGCGTGGTCATCAAGGGCTACTCGAAGAGCGCCGGCTACCAGCCGGGCGTCAAGTTCCAGGACTCGCGCTTTCGCAACTCCTGGAACGCCGTCTATGTGGCCGGCGCTTGGCGCTTCGTCCAGTGCAATTGGGGCGCACGACATCTGGTCAATGCCAAGGAGGCGCCCAAACAGGGGCGTGGCAAAAATGATAGCCTACGGTAAGGGAATTCATGTGCACCGTACCCAGCCTTTCTAACCCAACTGTTCCTCTTCCCTGCAGCTACGAGTACGACGATCACTACTTTCTCACGGACCCGCGCGAGTTCATCTACGAATTCTATCCGCTGCAGGAGGAGTGGCAGCTGCTGAAGCGGCCCATAACATTGCGCGAATTCGAGAATCTTCCGTTCGTGCGCTCGCTCTTCTTTCGCTACGGCCTGCACTTTGCCGACGAGGGCTACGGCGCCGTTGTGTTCACGGACGATACGGGCGCGGCGACCGTACGGATTGCCATGCCCACGGACATGCAGAGCTGCCTGATCTTTCACTACAACCTCAAGTTCTACGACAGCGACGAGGAGCTCTCCTACGACGGCGTCTCGCTCAAGCGGTTCGTAATGCAGTCCGTCATGGGCAACATTGTGGCGTTCCGCGTGCATGCGCCCTGCTCGGGCGCCTTCCTCCTGGACATCTTTGCCAATGCGGTGACGCCGCAGGAGTACCTAACGGGCGAGCCCATGAAGTTCAAGTCTGTCTGCAAGTTTAAGGTGAGCAACGGGAGCTTTCTTTAAGCCTATCTGAGTCTTAATCTTCGCTTTCGTCTTTCAGATCTGCTGCGAGGAGCTGCAGACGGTAATGGTGCCGTTGCCGGATTGCGCCAGCGGCGAATGGGGACCCACCAAGGCGACGCGCCTCTTTGGCCTGATACCCATAACACATCAGGTGAGTGAACTGGACAATAATAGAGTATACCATATATAGAGTATACCTAATCTCCAAACTCTTGCCAGGATCCTCTAATCTTTGCCGGCCGCAGCCTGGACCTGCAGTTCCGCATGTCGCGCCCGCTGACCGACTTTATGGCCACGCTGCATAAGAACGGCATCGAGGAGAAGAAGCTGGCCAAATACGTGACGCACAGCACGCTGGATGACATTGTCACATTTATCATTAAGTGAGATTGCCTTCACCTTCACTTCTAGAACTCTCATTTACTTTAATCTCTTCTCGCACAGCTTTCCCGAGGAAGGTCAATATGGTCTGGATATCTACACACGTGAGCTGGGCGCTCCGCAGCATCTTTACAACAATAATAACAACTCCTCATCCGGCGAGAAGCATCTGCTCACGCATTGCTGTAAATATTTAATCAACTCCTCCAAAAGGAATTGAGACAAGAACGAAATGCAATATTAATTCATAGTCTAAACGTTAAGCAGTTACTAAACTAAACAATATTGATATATGATATATCGGAAAGCATTATATATATAGTTGCATCTATATAGACGAGGGTAGACTGAGCAGTTCGCAAGCGGAGCCAAGAATATATTGCTGCTTAGACTGCCCTCGCAGAACTTTATATAATATATATATATATATATATATATATATATATATATATATATATA